TTTAAGAGTAATCGGTAGTTTCGCGAGCTTTGCAAGGGAGGGAAAGGGAAATGGAACAGGATTGAGGAGCAAAGGGATTGAAAAAGGAGCAAAGGGATATAAAAAATAGTAAGATGGTGGATGAGGCTAGGGATACTAGTAGCATATAGTGTGTATGGGATACTATGCGTTGATAATTGAATGGATGATTGAGAGGGAGAAGAAGAATTAATCTGTCGATTAATTTCGTTTAAATGAAAATCTAATGATAAATTTGTTAAATGCTTAAAAAGTAATGATTTTTGTTGTTTTTGTAAGAAAAAGTTTAACGTCCAAAGTATTTTTAAAGTAAGTATTATTTAAAATATTGTTTTTTATATGTATAAAGATACTTTCTTTTTTTTTTATTATCTAATTTATACGTACAATTTTAATAAGGAAAAATTATAAGGATGTAATAAATATATATTTCATTTTTTTTTAAAACTTCTCTGGAGGAGGTATAGGTGATTTACATTCTTTATAAGGAGGGCAGTAAGTTTTACAATATTGTAATCGATCGATAAACACTCGGCACACCGTATGCGGCTCCTTCACGCATTTAAATACAACCTTACCGTTTCTCGTGTATTGACTGAATGGTATATGCCAAATCATTTCCCACCGATACCCTTGACATATTCTTGAACAAAAACTGTAGACACGAGAAAATTTTATTAGATTAAATTATATCATTTAACCATTCTAAATATATTATACAAGACGAGATTATTTCCTGTTTAAAATCAATAATACACTCAAGTTATATTATCTAAAAAAGAAAAGTAAAAATAAAAATAATAAATTCTATAAAACGATAAAATAAAATATTTCTTTTTTACAATTGAAGAAATACACGGAATTTCAAACGTGTCGAAAGTAAAATTCAACTCACGACTGTTATTACAGTCGTAAATTTCAAACGCGTCATAAATGAAATTCGACTCACCTGTTGTTACAATCCATCCTGAATAACCGGAAACCACAATCGCGTGCCAAGTGCCAACTCTCCTGGATCAGTCTTTTTCCGATTCCCAATAATTGAAAATCTTTCCTTACTGCTAGACTAGCTTGTTCAAAAACTGTCATAATGCAAAATCGTTCCCAAAGTTTGGGCGCCTCCGAAACGAAGCCGAAAAATTCGATGAGATCGCGCATTGGACCTTCCGCGCAACATTTTGCTAAACAATACATTTTTTCTGCATCGCTAGAATCCACCACGCAATTTAAGGCAGCGCCAATGATGCAGTTGTCACGATCCTCGGCAATAATCGAGTATCCCCCTTTTACTTGATCAAACATCATAGTTCTCCAGATAGGTGGCGCTTCTGTGCCCGCCAGACCGATGTTAATGATTAAGGGTTCGTATTTGTAGTACGCTTCGCACATAAAATCTACTACGTTCTCGTAATCGGGTGGTAGAGCTAAACGAGTTCTAAAAAACGGTTTATCCTGGAAAAATGTTACCGAATAATTTATATATAATGCGCAAAGGTGTATAGATCTGTGCATAAAAGTTTCTAACTAGTACTATTACCAATGAAAATTCTGTTTTTCTATTAAAAATTTTGGTGTATATAAAGCGTAAGGACATGTAGAACAATTTTTACTTTATTTTGAATACCATTTTTAAGAAGATAAATTCAATTCTTACATCAATTCTTCGTTTTTTTAAATACGATTTTGTAATAATGTAAGATAGAATAAAATTATTTATTTTAAAAATTATTTAAAATAAATTATTAATTAGAAATGTGTGTGTAAAATCGATTTCAAAGTATATTTTTATTTTTATGATTAATATGTTAAAATTTATGTGCATAAAAATCGATATTTCAATAAAAATGATGTTTAAATAAAATGTTTAATTATAAAAATTGTCAGTAATAATCAATTTAACATTGAAAACATTTAAATTACGATTTTGAAAAATAATTATGTTTTGCAAAAATATTTTGCAATTTTAAATATTAATGTAAATCCAAACGTCAATGTAATTACATTTTTCTGTAGGTTATAAATGCAAACATTACAAATTAAATTTACAATATCAAAAAATGCACTTACGTCGCATTTCACTTCGAAATTTTTTGCTGTAGTATGAAAATTTATTTTTCTTTTTCCAATTATATTGCATTTCGAAACGTGGTTCGGATATTTGAGAATCAAACTTCCGCATATTTTCAACAGTGTCGCAGCCATTTCATTACATTCCAATACTTTTTTCCGATAAAAATAACATTTTCATTCAATGTGCTCATGTTACGTTTTTAATATTATAATAATAACATTTTTAAAATTATACCTAGCTTACTTGTAATCAATTCAAAAATACTAATTGCGTACTTTCGATCTTGTGTTCTTTACATATATATTCGCATACGATGTTCTAAACGTTAACCGAAAAAATCAAACGTAACCTATTATTATCTATGAGACAAAATTCTCGCAAACAATAATTAATCCACACAATATTATATTAACATCATGATGAAATATTTGCCTTAAATTAATTCAATTACTATGGAATTGTTTGATTTATTCTCGAAATAACTAAACAACGTGAATTATGCAGCATCAAAGAGGGCGCTCGAAACCATTCGGCATAAATTGTTTCAAATATGCATTATTTTTTAAGGCCAAGTTAATCCTTCTTCAATAGTTGGCATTTATCATTAATAATAAACTTAGATATTTTATATATATATATATACTTTATTAATTGAACAGGAATATAGAAACAGGAGTATTATTATATTATAGGAGAAATTTATCGATTGTATTATATGTTATGAAATTTTTCACGTATAAGCAACTTTACTTCGAATGCTTTGCAATACGTGATATAACAAACATCTATATATGTAGATATGTGCGAAGAGGCTACAGATTTTGAAAGAACATCTAAAATGATAATTCAAACACCGTTCTATTCATTCATAATCGTTGCACAAAATGACATGGCAGCTAATAGACTAACTGATTTATGTATTATTATTCGCACCGCGTTTCATCTGATATATTGAGTTTCTACCAGAGAATTTAAGCAGAAAACTTAAGGAATGATGAACTAAAAACTAAAAAAAATGACAAAAATTGATATAAAATATAAGTACTAATATACTAAAAAATATTGACACATACTTTAAAACACGATAATTAACGATTTTTTTACATATCAATAACTAATGTTTCTAATTTTTCAAAATAATTCAAGACATTAAGTTTAATTTTGAAAGAATTATCATATTTCTGATTTTATTATTATATGACGCAAATGATTGTTGCAGTTGAATTCCGGCTTCATTGAAAAGAATAAATATTTGAATTTATATGAATTTTTTTTTGATTAAATATACAAATAAATTAATCTCCATCTGACAATTTCGAATCAAAAAAATTGCAAATGTATCAGCATTACATTTTCCTTATTACAAATATACATATCACGAATATTACCATAAATATACATAAGAATACGTATAACAATTTATTCAACTACATTTTCAACAAATATCCATAAAACGTTCACCGTACTATAAATAAAAGCACACATGCTGGAGGAAGATAAATTTTTCTATCCATTCTAGAGGCGCACGCGAATACACGAAGGCTATGCACCATCGTGCTCGAATAAGGATATAACGAGAGGAACACGTATACGTACGTTACAAAGCGGGCAGACGTGTTTGCATCAATTACCGTCTTTTATTCTCATTTCACCCGATACGCTGAAAGATTGCAATTTATCGGCGCAACAATGCCGAGCATTATTAATATCCATTAATCAAGCGGAGGCTTCGCTTGCTGACGCGCGAAACGATCCCGTGCACGGTCGAATTATCGGTTGCCCATCGTATAAATAAAAGCGGCAAGGGAAAGAAAAAAAAAAAAAAAGAAAAAAAAATAACGGAACAATAGCGTTTCTGATGAACTGCAGGCGAATACGAGAGTATATTTTTGGGTTTCACGCTTCTTCTTGTCGAATCGATGACACTCGAAATGAGAAAATTCTGAATCACGATGAAAAGGTTCGTGGCTCGAGCAGAGGGTGTAGAAAAATGGACGAAAACAGGGGGCGAATATAAACGAGATATAGAATTGATTTTTCCTTTGACGACCAAGTACATGTTATTTAATGAAAGAAAATTGATATCTGTGGAACTGTCGTACGATTTGTTTCGAGGCTTTTGTTATTGGGAATTTTTAACGATGAATCTTTGCCTCTCAAGAGTTTTTGGAGGGATGTGTGGTTGATGGGATATCGATTGGACAGTGATGTGGATGTTAGACTGCGGTTGTTGACTGTTTTGTGTGTGATAAAGAGGGGTTGTAATAAATGATTTTGAATAAATACGTACACGTGATTAATTATAACGTGAAATGGAAAAGTTCGAAGAATTTGTTTCTCAATATTGGTTAATAATGTTAGAAAATTTATATTGGACGAAAGGAAATGGAAATAAAATTACGAGAAAACTTGATTTTTAATTTGGCATTGCACATTGTAAAAAAATAAATGTCATCCATCTCGTTTTAAGTGTCCTGGATAAAATGTGATACAGAAAATGGAAAAATTAACAAAATACATGAAATGAAATATATTCATCAAGTGCGTATTGCTGGAAACATATTTCTGAACAATTTAAAATAATCATCGAAATATGAAATATAAAACATAAAACAAGAGGAATATTTTATATATATATTAAATGTATCAACATTTATATTACATTTATACTGATATTAATTTCTGGAATAAAAATTTCTGGAATAATATTACCTTTTATTACAATACTTAACCTTTCTAATTAATACACATTTTCTTCTTAATCAGCTGTTTATAAAATTACACATATCAATATCAATTGCTGCCTAAACGAACAAAATAATAAAAAAAAATGAAATAATAATCGATTAAAAAATAATTCTAATTTATTACAATAAATACACTATACATTATCTTTGCAGACATATTATATTGCCAAATTACTTACATAAAAATTAACACATTTTCATCTGATCGATTTTTGTTTCTCTGCTTTCTGAATCCCTAAAAGTTTTTAAAGAATCTATCCATGAATCTCATAATCTCTGGTTTCACCACTCGCCTGGGAGTTCCTCTGCTTCTGATGTTTCGCTTCATCGACATCATCAGAATCGTGAGCACCACCCTTCTTGTATCTACCCTCGATGGCAACATGCTTCTCGTTATATCGTCCATGTTTCTTCGAATGACCTCCCTGATCATCGTTGTCGTAAAAATCATGATCTCTCTTGTATTCGTCTTTGTGATAAACGTTTAAGTAACCAGTCGCTTTACGATTCACGTGATCATTGCTTTTCACCTGATAATTACCTCCTTTCTTACCTTTAATCCGTTTTGTTTTTTGCCCCGAATTGTTTCCTCGATTATGCTGAACCTTTTTCTTTCCACCAGTTTCAACGCGCTGAGTCCTCTTCTTCTTCCTCAAACTATCCCCTTTCTGGCCCTTCTCAAACGAAGATACTTCACGATATCCTTCTTCGTTACCCTCTCTACTTTTCGACTTCTTGGCCACTTGTTTAGTATCATCAGCCTTTTCGACTTTAGGCAAAACTTGAGAAACTTGGGATTCGGCGTATTTCAGTTCCATATGATCGACTCCAGGAGGTTTGACACTCGTATAATAGAGGGGCAACATTTCAGCATCCGGTTCCAAAGGCAGTGCAAATATTCCAAGATTTTTTCGAGGTTCCTTTATGGGAATCAGTTTCTTCTGGAAGTTCATTTCAACGGATGGTTCATCATCAACTATTTCCGTGAAAGCTTTCTTTGTCTCGTCTATTTTCCAATTATCTGGATGTAGATTGTCAGCTCGAGCAATCGTAACTGTGAAATGCACGCAGAATATCGCGTGAACTGTGTACCATCCTCTTCTGAAGATTCTCATTTTTCCTCGTCACAACACCGATGCTTTAATCTTTTTCCTTTCCTTTCAAAAATTTGAAAATTGAATTTAAATTGTACACATTTCGGATGAACAAGATAGATTGTTTTAGACGCAGTTACAGGTATGTTGGTTCACAGAAACGCGTTCAATTCTACTGTAATCGCGGCACAATCGAGCTCTTTTATACGTCATGCGACCCACTCTAGTGATTGGACACGATTGCCTCTCGCCCAGGATTATCGACGAAGTAATACATCTGAAAGGATAGGCTCGAAGATGTCGTGATGAAATTTTCACTTCACGATACGGCTTTACGTAGTCGTATCGTTGATCAAACTTCCAAGATCTTGGTTAATCTTGTATTTGATGTTCCTTTGCGACTTTAGAGAAACTGAGCTAGCCTTGACAGGTGTGGTGGGATTTGAGAAACGATAGGGACACTTTCCTTTGCCTTTCGTAAGAATTGTGGTTTCTCTCGTTTGGAATATCTCTAAAAATTAATTTAGAATTAGAATTTATTCAATAATGGATATTATTGCTTAATAAAGATATTTAATTATTTAAACTTTGCTTTTGATCTTTAAACGTTTATCAATCATTAAATTCATTAATTTGAGCTAAAGATAGGTTTAATTTATAAAATATTATTGTTAAAGTTTCAATTAAATGATCACTGCGTATCGATATACTACTAGAATTTCGTTATATAATAATAATCTTTCTTATGGTATATAAGTTTCTATGGCATATAAATTTTAATTAGACTCATCGTGTTTTGTATATCGTTAAAATTAGTTCTAACTTTTTATTTCATTAAAAATATATTAAAATTTCTCGTTCGATTTTGTAACACCAATCAATAAATAATTGCTGCTGGAATCGCCACTGGTTTCCTCTTCACGCTTATCAAATAAATTTACACGAAATACCGTGTATAAACAGTTTTCCAGTAAAAACTTAAACTCTCCATAAACTACATTTCACATTTTGTTTATGTACTTACAATCTTTCCTATAAAAGTTTCCAAGTTTTCAATTCAACTATTAATAAATTTAAACATACCATTGTTATTTATTTAACATTAACATCCTAAATCCTTTAAATCCTATCCTTCAAAAACTCATTCGACACTACGTTTTCATAATTATCTATGTAACATCAACAATTCAAAAACAATCTTCCACACTAAATATTGGATTTCGAAATTCTTGAAATCACTATCCATTATTAGACTACCCATTCGACATTCGTCTTACTCTCCCCACACTTGAGAATCGCGATCAAAATCACCCGAAAGGATCGGTGATCAATTGGTCAGTGCTCGATCCAGCCGCGTGGTGATGCATTACGCAAATCACCCACGATTCCCTAGAATGGTCGGTGAACAGGCCGAGCATAAACGTCAATAACACGGTGTACTTGAATTATCGTGCTCGGCCGTGGAATACTCTCTCCACGATCCCTTATTCCCGACGAATCACGTTTCTCGTGTGTATGGTATATATATAAGGCGAAACCGTCGATTCACGGACACACCGGTTTGCATACCACCGATTACGCGACCACCAATCCCTCGAAGTCCTAATTCCATTGTGCAACTCAGAAATATGCTTTCGAGAGCTACGTTTCTCGCGTGCGTGTTCCTTCTGGCACGTCAAACTGGCGCAGCCACGGAGCAACGTATGACGTTGGTGAACAAGATGATCGCCGAGGATCTAGATAGGTCAGCGACCGATTACGTGTACAATCAGCAACAAGGACTTCCGGTTTACTACGTGCGGTATACCAATCACGGAAGTGGACGGTACTATCATGCCCCGGCCGCCGTGCAATACGTTGTCGAGGCAGCTACACCTGTTGCACGCGGTGTAACCGGGACGAATCCTCTTCTGCATCCGTACGCGATCGCGAACGGTGTTCCGAATCATCAAGGAATTGCCAATTACGGTAACGAGCAATCGTTGGAACGTCAAGTGGCGAGGGATTTGTATCACGTTGATGGAAAAATAACCGAGGAAGATGACGCGGGGGAGGAGGAGAAGGAGAAGAAGAAGGAGAAGGAGGAGGAAGAGGATGGGGATGGGGAGGAGGAGAAGGATGAAGAGGAAGACGATGTCGACAATGGGGAGATTCACGATGGATCTGGTGGATCAGTGAAACTGTTTGGGTATGGGGATTACGAGGACGAGGAGGTTGGTGAAGTCTCCTCGGGTGATGAGAGTGGTTCGTTCGAAAGTGAGAAGGGGGAGAGGTATTCGGAGCATGGAGGGAAAGAGGAGAAGGGATACGAGGCTTGGAAGGAGTTTAGCAAAGGGGGACGTGGTAGCAATAATGATGAACGTCGAGAAGGTAAGTTTTTTTAGATACGTGATAATTATTGGAAAATTATTTTCATTCACGATTTTGAATCTATCCATTTAATTATCAATTGATCGATTGTAAGAAAAATGCTAATCTGAGAAACTAGTGTTCAACTTTCTTCGTAACGTGTTAAGAAATGGAATTTTTCTTTCTAAAAGTGTAGAAGTTGTATCAGAAAATTATATCATATGCTTTTAATCGATCTACGCTCGAGCAATTGCCCTTAAATGTCTACCAGGATACTATAAGAACAGAAGTGAAGAGAAGAAGGGACACGTCGACGAAGCTGAAAATCACGGTTCTCACGAGGAGGCAGGGAAAGGCAAAAAGGGCAAGAATTACGGTCACTCGTCTTACTATAAGAAGGGGCACAAAACTAATGGTTTCCACAATGTCTATCACAAGGACGAATACAAGAAGGAAACGGACTTCTACGACGATGACCACAAGAAGGGTGATTTCGGCGAATACGAGGAATTCGACAAAGGTTACAAGATCGACGAGGGTGATTTTAAGAAAGGAGGACATCATTCTTTTGAGAATGATTATCAGAATCGCGGAAAGAAAGGACATTACGATAAGGGACACCATGTAATCGAGGATCAAGGTCACCAGGCAGAAAAAAGCGAAAAATCTCATTATGAGGAACACGAGGATTATAGTGTCGCAGAAGATTCGAAATCTGACAAAGCGCACGAATTTAATAGAAAAAATCATTAATTATTGTAGTAGCATCTGAAATTTTATGAAAATTCTGTTATTATATTTTTATATCTCATTAATCTTATACTGATTATATATTAATATACTTTGATATAGTTAATAATATATATACAATTAATAGATGTATATAATTGAAATTTTCATATTAATTTAATTATTGATTCCTTCATAATTCAGATAAAACTGAGTGTTATTTAGTAAGGGTAAATAAAAAGCGATTGGAAATATGAAATTTAAATTGTTGTGAAGTGAAAACTTTGTTACCTAAGAGAATGAAATAACTCTTCCAGAAAGTGTTATTGACCTAATTTTTTTAGGACTGGTATACCGCAATGTATCTAACGCAAAAAGATAAACTATTGCAAAAATTGTTACAAATCAATACTGACAATATTTTGTAATGCATCGTAGAGAAGAAAATTGAGAAATAATCAATTTCAACATCTGTCATGTATTTTGCTATTTTTTTGAAACGTTTCAAAAAAATATTTTACAGAGATATTTATTGATTGATATATTCTGTTCATTTGTTCATCGTAGAAACCTAAATATTTTATCAATACATTAACTATTTAGAGTGTATTGTAAATATTTTACATTGAATTATTTTACATTTATCTTCCAGTAAATATCTGAAAAATTCGGATAAAATAATATTTAGTTTATATTTTGCTTATATAATATTTAGTTTGATTTGTTACAACATATTTGATTCCAAAATATCGAACAACAAACAGAAGAAGGAAACATAAAAAAATTGTTTCCAAAAATACATTTATTTTCGATCAGATATAAAGATCAACACAGCGTTCAACAAATATAACAATCGATAAAGATTATCCTTAATGCCCTTTCTTAAATCCCCATGATTTGTGATCATCGTGTCCCCCTTTCTTGCCATGATGAGAATGATGAGAATGATGTTCCTCGTGTCCACCTTCGCTCTTATGCCCTTTATCATCGTGATGATGATGTCCCTTTTCAAAGTGTCCCTTCTTCCCATAATGATCCTCGTGCTCCCCATGATCGTGATGCCCTTTCTTGAAATGTCCACCCTTCTTGTGCCCGTGTTCGTGATGATGGCCACCGTGATCCTCGTGGTGTCCAGAATCGTGGTGTTCATCGAAGAATTCCTTGTCTTTCTTGAACTCGTCCAATTTATGAATCTCATGATGCCCTTTCGTTTTGTGCCCCTTCCCGTAATGCCCCTCCTCGTGGAATTTGTGACCCTTCTCCCCCTTCTCCCCCTTATGATGCTCCGCGTAATAACCATCGTCGTGATGATGGCTCTTCTTGTGACCCTCGTCCTCGTCGTAATGACCGCTGTGATGATCCTTGTCGTGGTGTCCCTTCTCCCCTTTCTCGTGATGATGAGACGATTTGTAACCCTTGTCACCGTGGTCACCGTGCTTGCTATGGTGATCGGAGTGGTGCTCCTCGCCACCGCCCTCCTCGTGATGATGATGAGTCGCCGCCACAGCTAGGTCATCGTACGATCTCTTATCGATCTCTCGTGCAACGATCGAGCCGAACTGACAGAAGACAAACGCCAACAGCAGAGAAATCGCGAGTCGAGACTTCATGGTGGTGGGGGTAGGGTGGCGATCGGTAGGGATTCGATCGATGGTAATATCGAAACGTTCGACTCGGACGCTGTGTTCGGTATGATTAATCCGGCCATCACTCCCGGATTATATATCGAACGGGGAATAATCGATATTAAGGAAGCAGTGGTTCCTGCTTCTTTAGGAAAGTTGCGAAAGTAACGTCTCCTTAACCCGCTTGGCGATTCGTCGATTTCGATCGATCCAACGCCGTTATGCAACCTGCTCGAAATCGGTTGCTCAAACTTAAGGCAAAATATCTCCATGTAAACATTTCTCGCTTCCATTTTCGCTTTTTGTTTTGTCGTTGTGTAGACAATGACAATGTGTCTTTTCGTAATGATCGATTTTCTAGGGAAATCTGGATTTTA